CCCAATTCCAAATATTTATATTAATCTCGAAAAAGTACTTTTATCGAGCGTAATAGTTTATAGGGAACTTTGACGAAATAAATTTTAGATTTTTAGGAATTTTTTGAAAAATACACCATTTAAGTTAGAACCTTGTAATTTTGATATGTTATCCTTTAAAGTGTCTATTTTAATAACAAACATTAAAATTATCTAATTTTCATCCCCAATTCTAAATATTTACATCAATCTCGAAAATGTACTTTTATCGAGCAGACTAATTTTTAGGTTACTTTGACGAAATACAATTTTTATTTTTAGGAATTTTTAAAAAATACACCGTTTGAGTTAGAATCTTGTAATTTTGATATGTTATTCTTTAAAGTATCTATTTTAATAACAAATATTAAAATATTAAATTTTTATCCCCTATTTTAAATATTCACATTAATCTCGGAAAAATACTTTTATCGAGCATACTAGTTTTTAGGGAACTTTGACAAGATAAAATTTTGATTTTTAGGGATTTTTTGTAAAATACACGGTTTGAGTTAGAGCCTTGTAATTTTGATATGTTATCCTTTAAAGTATCTATTTTAATTCCAATAAAATTATTATAATATTTATCAAAAATTATTATTTTAATATTTATACTTTAACATTTTCTTTCGAACTATTCCAACTATTTATGGTATAAATTTTATTACCAAATTTTTTACATTCTTTAAATATTTTTGTCTACATATGAATGATAACCGTTTTTGTAATTTTTTCCATTTATTTCTACAATGTAACTATATTTCTATAAATCAAAAAATCCTAAAAAAATCCCTTCACAAACTTCAGGAAGATTTATGAAAATCCGAATAATCGTTACCTCATTACAGAAAAATTTTCTACATGAGATATATATATATATATATATATATATATATATATATATGATATTTCTTACTTTGCTTGCTGGATAGCATCATCAGTAGCAGCAACTGGAAAAGCAACATTGAAATTTGCTCGCCTGGATAAAAATTCACCAGGACCAGTACTGAATCCAATCAGACGTGGGTTGAACTCTTTTAAAATATTTGGGAGGGTCAAATATTTACGCCAAGATCCTTGGCCACCTGGAAAGTTAAAAACAAAGCGGTTAAAACAAAAAAAACATCCTAAATTGATACGGAACTTATAAAAGTAACATGATTGATTTAGGAGCTGGTAAAAAAATAGAACTAGAGAAATAGTTGTTTTATAATAAATATTCCTCAATTTTTCTATTTTTTTCTGGTCCTTTACCTGCTGCCCAAGTGACACCACGATGTTCAACAAAAGCCCCCAAAGCAAATTCTTCCATGGCACCACTTCCAGCAACCAAAGAATCTCCCAAAGCACCAATTACTTCTATGTCTGATGGCCTCAGACGATGGACACTTGTAGGACGAGTTTTTGCAGATATTTTCTACAAAAAAAAATACTTTAGAAGTGAGAAGATATCAATTGGTTTAATTACTAAAAAGAACTTTACCTTTGCCTCTTTTGGACATGGAAATGGGTATCCATCTGGTACCAAGGGTTGTCTTCGTACTCCTGATGATGCAGGATAGAATAAACCGAAACCGGTGCTCTGAAAAAAAAATTAATATATAAATAAATCATTAATTGTAGTAGAAATGATATAAATTTTATCTAGTTTTACCCTATCTAACTGAAAAGGGGTGGTTCCATATGAAATTTTTGAGTAATAGAAACCAAGGCAGCTAGTCCATATATAATTATGTATAAATCAATATATACATTTATATATATATATAATACATACTATAATACATACCATACAAACTAAATTTATCATACAAAATTGAGTTTAATAATTGGCTATAGGTGGATTTTGGACGTTTTTTTTATATTTTGTCAAATAACTTTAAAATTTTGTTCAAGGCATTTTATTTTATTCATATTAGTGAAAAATAGATAAAATTCAGATTTATAAATGATAAACCATATAAAAACATAGACTGCTATTCACGCTTTTTTTAAACTACCATTTATTGACTTATTCGATCAATACAAATGATCTATCATTCGGCTGTTTGTATGGGAATACAAACTAAGGCTGTTATGTCATATATAATCATGTATAAATCGATATATACATTCATATATCCAATTTCCATACAAACTAAGGCAATTATGTCATATATAATCATGTATAAATCGATATATACATTTATATATCCAATTCCCATACAAACTAAGGCTGTTAGGTCATATGTAATCATGTATGAATCAATATATACATTTATATATCTAATTCCCATACAAACTAACACAGATAGTATATGTATAATCATGTATAAATCAATATATACATTTATATATCCAATTCCCATACAAACTGGGACAGTTAGTATATATATTATCATGTATAAATCAATATATACATTTATATATCTAATTCCCATACAAACTAACACAGATAGTATATGTATAATCATGTATAAATCAATATATACATTTATATATCCAATTCCCATACAAACTGGGACAGTTAGTATATATATTATCATGTATAAATCAATATATACATTTATATATTTAATTCCCATACAAACTAACACAGATAGTATATGTATAATCATGTATAAATCAATATATACATCTATCAAAGTCGTTTTATTCAAAACTTTTATATGGGAGTGTATAAAAGTGTTCCCTAGGAAATGTTGTAAATTTTATCTAGTTTCACCCTGTCTAAATGAAATTCCATATGAAATTTTTGAGTTATTTGACGAAAACCAAAAAAATGTTCCGAATTTTCTATATTTATTGCTTAAGAATGAAATATCGAATTCAAAGTCGTTTTAACTAAAATATTAGATATTAATATTTAACAAATTAAATTAAATTTTATTAATAACAATATTAGTAATAAATAGTTTTCAACATAGAAAGTGCCTTCAAAATTCTTTACATTATTATACATTTCAAAAAGTCGCGCCTGTTTTGCATAATTATTATTATTTAGTCATGCAAAATTATGCAAGATCCGTTCAAATTATGTCAAAAAAAAGGACAGAAGATTGAATGAGGAGGGATATGAATGAGAAATATTTGAATTGGAATTTAAGAAAGGCTTTCTATACAATACTAATCGAGAATAAACAAACGAGCCGATCCAAAAACGTGATCAGAATTAAATTTTAATACAAACAATTCTAGTGTGAAGAAAGTGAATTGAAATTGTGACGTGATCGGAATTTATTATTATATTTTTGTAAATAATTAAATTTGTTGTATATTAAACATTGAAAAATTTTTATCATTAAGCACAAAAATAATCCAATAATAATTTTTTTTTAATTTCTTTCTAATTTAAGTCTGTCTATTTTCTCTTTGTCACGTTGGAATTATTTATTATTCCGGAATGATTTGTTAAGAAAATGTTTGAGTAATTTTTGCATTTCATTTTGAATCGACACTTTCGATTGACAAAAGAATAAATAAATCGATTGATTGGTACGTGATTTGCATTTTGAAATCAAGATAACGCACTAGACACTTTGATAATAGAAATGTGATAAGATAAGATGATAATCTTGAAATCATCTACGTGGTAAAAGAAATATTATATTTCCTTTGTATCTTGAAAAGCTTGGATTTGATCACTAAGGTGTATTCTAGAAAAATATTGACTAAAGTATACTTGAAATTTTATCGAAGACAAAACTACTTAATCTCTTCTAGTTTTTTAGATATTTGGTTCTGAAGTTAGAACTAGCGCGGCTCTACCAAATTTGTCGCTTTAACCTGAAACGAGGCCTCGTTTGGGGTTACATGCACGCATTCGTTTTATTACAGATATTTCGTGAACCAAAAATGCAAACCATAATGTATGTTCTAAAAATTTATAGCCAGAAATATGCTTCATATTTTTGTAGAAGACTAAACTATACTAGCTATATTAGTTTTCGAGTTACAGAACTTTAAAATTACATGCGCGCAACCTCAAACGACGCCTCGGTTGGGGTTACTACTAACATGCGCGCTATTCGTGTGACGCATTTGTTCTAATACAGATATCTCTTGAACCAAAAATGCAAACTATATGGTATGTTCTAGAAATTTATAGCCAGAGATATACTTTATATTTTTGTAGAAGATTAGACTATACTAGCTATATTAGTTTTCGAGTTACAGAACTATAAAAATACATGCGCGCAACCTCAAACGACGCCTCGGTTGGGGATACTTAACATTAGCCTTATTCGTGTAGCGCATTTGTTCTAATACAGATATCTCGTGAACCAAAAATGCAAACTATAAAGTATGTTATAAAAATTTATAGCCAGAAATATGCTTTATTATTTTGTAGAAGACTAAACTATTCTAACTGCATTATTTTTCGAGATATAGAACTTTTAAATTATATGTCCCACGTCTGTCGTCTCAACCTCGAACAAGGCCTCGACCTAGGTTAGAAACATGCGCGCTATTTTAATGTAACATATTTGTTAAAAAATTTATATCTCTTAAACCAAAAATGCAAACTATAAAGTATGTTCTAGAAATTTATAGACATAAATATGCTTGATGTTTTTGTAGAAGACTAAACTATGCTAGCTGCATTAGTTTTCGAGATATGGAGTCTTAAATTTGCAAGTCTTTTTTAACAAGTTAGTAAGTCATAATAAAGTTGTATTGCGCAACACAAACTTAAATTGAAAAAAATGATTTATATATATATATATATATATATATATATATAATATATACAATTATAATTTTACCTGTAAATCATCTGTTAAAAACCGAAACTGTCCTTGTATTCCACTAAGTCCCAAATAAAGTATAAAAATTCCAAAAAACATCTTTGAAGATGTTTTAAGAATTTTTTACTAAATTTATATTCTTGATTTCATCGCATATCTGTAACAACAAAAATATTTATTTTAATTACTATTTTATTTGGTAAAAATTATTAAAAATTATCAAATTATATTTACTAAAATCACGAAAAGTTCTTGCAATATTTAAAAGTGAATCAGAGAATAAATAACAAATCTTTAAGTAATTTTGAAGAAACCAAAATTACTTCATATAAACTTTTGTAATTAAACAAGAATTTATATTATTTCAGTAACAAATTAGAAAAAATGTTTTCACATATGTGTTAAATGGTCCAAGAAGGAAAAAAAAATTGCGGTCAGAACATTATTTCAAAACTAACTACGAAAAAAACGTATTTCTTAAACATATACTTTTACTAATAAACAAAGCTTCAGAGTTGATAAATAACAAAATTTTTGCAATTAAATTTATTTAAGGTAGATTCTGATGAATTAATAATTTATATTATTATACACTTTATTTTTTACTATTCATAAATAGTTTTACTTTTAATGTGATTTATTCTTTTCATAATGTAATTTATTTTCAAATATATATATTTATTTTCTAATATTTGTTTTACTATTTATATAAATTTTGTAAACTTTATTGGAATTTAAAAAAATCCATTAATATTACATAAAGATTCATTAAAATTATAAAAAATAACACTGAAATGATATAAAAATATTCTTAAAAAAAATTTTTTTTACCAAAAAATCCAATTTCAATATGAGAGTGTGCAAATTAATATTGCCGACTTTTTGAATTTCTAAAAAATCTCAAAGCGTTCTCAAGATACTCCATTTTTAAACATTTCGATTTCGCAGGATCCATATTAATTTTTTACAACTTATAAAATTTGCAAAGTGTAAAAATGCAATTTTATAAAAACTATTGTAGATATTTTAGTGATTCAAAATTTTTTTCCTAGAACATTTTTAATTTGCCATCGAATAGTTCTACTCTTGATTTCCAATTTCTACTAGTTCATCAAGAATATATATTATACATAAATAAATCTTCTGGATTTGGAGCAATAGTTAACCATGCAAGTCGATACTATATTAATAGTCAGTTAATATAGTTTTAAAGTTAATTTATTATTACCGATTGTGTTATTTCATGTTTTCTATATGAAAGAGTTAAAACAGCATATCGGGATTATCACAGTTCGATGGCAAATTAAAAATGTTATATAGCCGACTTTTTGAATTTCTAAAATATCTCGAAGCGTTCTCAAGATATTCAATTTTTTAAACATTTCGATTTCGCAGAATCCATATTGATTTTCCACAACTTATAAAATTTGCAAAGTGTAAAAATGCAATTTTGTAAAAACTATTGCAGATATTTTGGTGATTCAAAAAGTTGTTCTAAAAACATTTTTAATTTGCCATCGAATGGCAATACCCTTGATTTCCAATTTTCACAAGTTCGACAAGAATATTTTATAAAACAACTTTGTAATCGAAATTTTGGTAAATGCAATATAACTATAAAAATTTGAAGAAAATAAAACGGCAAAAAGTATGTTAAAAAATCTCATTGGAAGTATTAAAAAAATCCAGTTAGATATTTTTTTAATCAAATTAGAATTTTTAAAAATCCCATTGGAATTCTAGGAAATCTATTAACATTTTCAATATTTATATATTTTTCACTATTTATATAATTTTTTATATTTATATAATTTTTTACTATTTATATAATTCTGTTTTTATTTAATTTTTGAATTTTATTGCAAGTCTGTGTGTTAATTTTATTAGTCATATATATACTTATTCGGCTTCTCTTTGAACAATAAGATGGAAAATTTCTTTTAAGAATTCTTTCTTGTGTTTAACATTTTATTGGCGTTATCCGTTTCCTTAAATTGAATTTGGACAGAGACGAATTGAAAAATATTTAATAATGAATTAATAAATTTATTTAGTAAATTAATTAATAATATTAAGTGTTTATTAGAGAAATAAATATGATTTGTCAGAAAAAATTATAAGTGTAAATAGTCGTAAAAAATCATTTGTAATTGCAATAATAGAAACGATATGAAAATAATTGTAAAATATGTATAATATCAAAATATCAAACTATCAAAAAATGTATTTAAAAATGTTAAACTGTGAAAGACTATTATAGTACAATGCATAAAATTAAAAACTTGATTCAGAATTTTTAAAACTTATTAGAAAATGTTAAAATATACTACTACAATAGATTTAAGTACGTAAAGTCATTTAAAAATATTAAAATGACTACAGAAAAACCCTTTAAAGTTCTTGAAAAGCCATTGAAATTCTAGAAAACCCATTGAAACTCAAGAAAATCCATTGAAAATCTAGAAAAACCCCTTGAAATCAAAGAAAAACCCATTGAATTTGCAAAAAACTAATTCAAATTCTAGAAAATCAAGTCAAATTCTAGAAAAGCTATTGGACTTACAATAATACAATGATAATTGAAATACATTCAGAAAATCTCATAAAAATTCTTGAAAACCCATCGAAATACTAGAAAACTCATTGAAATTCAAGAGAACCTATTGAAAATCTAGAAAAACCTATTAACAATTAGGAAATTTTAAAATATACTACTACAATTGATTTAAGGACGTAGTCATTTAAAAATATTAAAATGCCTTCAGAAAAACCCGTTAAAATTCTTAAAAACCCATTGAAATACTAGAAAATTCATTGAAATTCAAGAGAACTCAATGAAACACTAGAAAAACCTATTAAAAACTAGGACGTATTAAAATAAACTACAATGGATTTAAGGACGCAAAGTCATTTAAAAATATTAAAATGCCTTCAGAAAAACCCATTTAAATTCTTGAAAACCCCTTAAAAATCTAGAAAACTCATCAAAATTCTAGAAAATCCACTGAAAATCTAGCACGACCTATTAAAAATTAGAAAATATTAAAATATGCTACTATAATGGATAAAAGAACGTATAGTCATTTAAAAATATTAAAATGCCTTCAGAAAAACCCATTAAAATTCTTGAAAGTCCGTTAAAATTCTAGAAAACCCATTGAAACTCAAGAAAACCCATTGAAAATCTAGAAAAACGCCTTGAAATGATAGAAAAACCCATTGAATTTGCAAAAAAACTATTAAAATTCTAGAAAATCAAAATTATAGAAAATCTATTGAGCCCATTGAAAATCTAGAAAAATCCATTAAAATTATAGAAAAACCCATTGAATTTGCAAAAAACCAATTCAAATTCTAGAAAATCAATTAAAATTCTAGAAGATCTATTGAACTCATTAAATCTAGAAAAACCCATTAAAAATATACAAAAACCCATTGAATTTTCTTAAAAACCAATTCAAGTTCTAGAAAATCAATTAAAATTTGAGAAAATCTATTGAACCCATTGAAAATCTAGAAAGACCCATTAAAAAACTAGAAAAACCTATTGAAATTCTAGAAAACCCACTAAATTTGCAAAAAATCAATTAAAATTCTAGAAAATCTCTTGAACCCATTGAAAATCTATTGAACCCGTTGAAAATCTACAAAAACCCATTGAAATTATAGAAAAATCTATTGCAATTATAAAAAAAAAACATTAAATTTGCAAATAACCAATTCATATTCTAGAAAATCAAATTAAATTCTAGAAAATCTATTGAACCCATTGAAAATCTAAAAAAAAAACATTGAAATTATGTTTCTTCGAAATGGTTGGGCCTGCCTTTGCTAAAAAATGTTTAGATCATTCAAATCCGATACTACGTTCTCTCAAAAACTCGATTTGTATTTTTTGCACTCTTTGCTCCGTATCTCCGTAACAGCTGGACCTGCCTTTACTAAAAACTAATCAGCACATCTCCCTATCAATAGGGATCGACTGTTTTTCAAACCATTCAAATCGGTTGATCCGTGCGCCCGAAAACGTGGACGAAAAATTGTATCTATACATATACAAACATCCATTTTTTCTGATTGTGAGGTATGCCAAAATGTTCAGAAACCTTCAAAACGTCGAGAAAAGTAAATTACTATACCTACTCCCTACGGTAAGTTAAAAAAATATTATTGAATATTAAATATAGATTCCCCCAATTCCTCTCTGTTTTTTTCTCTGTCTAATTTGCTTCGAGGCAATAAAATAAATTCCAATTGGAATCCCATCAAAACAATGTAGGTACAAAGAAAAAGATTTATTCTTCTGAGGTTATGACATTATTTGTGAATTTTTGCATGTAATCGTTTCTTATTGACGAAGACTGAAGACGACCACACATCACTATTATTATTATTATTATTATTGTTACATTACGATGTATAAAACTGTGTTTTTCTCTAATTTATTAACAAAATAATTAAAATAAAACTACCTGTCTACCTAATACATTGTTGTATAAGACTGTGTGAATAAACATATGTGGGTTGAGGTACAAACAATTTAATTTTATAGTATACAGAGTTGATGTAGAGTGCTATAATGTTAGACAATATTGTACATTATTTAATTTTGTGCAAATTTGCAGAATATTTTGTTTAATTTAGAGCAACGGTTTAAAAGTTACAAGAGATATAATAAATAAAAGCACAAGTACATAAATGAGTTTATAATTAGTAGTCTGAAAAATTTGGTTTCAAAAACGGTTTTAAAGTATACCGAGTTGCTGTAGGGTTAAATAACTACTTTTGCAGTTTAAATATTTCATTTACATCATATTACGTATTATGTATTAACTAGAATTTTTATTACTATATCGTGTATTTCAGGTTTGTAAGATACGAAATGTATGTGGTCAGATTAACCTTTACTTTATATCACTTTCATCATTAGTTATTATATTTTTTATAGTCATATTGTTCTGATGATGAGAATCATATGAAATATAAAATAATACGTAATTTTGGTCAATTTTTGGTTATTACGAAATCATTTCCTCAAATCAAAACGGTAAAACGGTAAAAGTCATATGAAGACTTGCGTGATAAGAAATAAAAAAGTTAAAAAAAAAATGTGGACACGCAAAAATCATTAATAAATGTAATAGATGTAGAAATATATATATATATATATATATATATATATATATACTAGATGACCCGGCTAACGTTATTTTGCTAAGTAAGGTATATTCCAAACAATTTCTTGAGAATCAAAAAAATTATTACTTTAAGTGTGTAAGGATATGTTGTTTGAATGCTATAGACAATGAGGTATTATAAAAACAATAAACCCGAAAGTCTACCTGTTCAATATTATATAATGTATATTAACAATATAAATTAAATAAAGAAAAACATCATCTATCAAAACCATTTGATATTTGACGTATAAGCCGACAACACATTCTGTCGTGCATTTATTTATTAAATCTCTTGTAACTTTTGAACTAATTATTTTATATAAATGAAATATTCGGCAAATTTGTGTAAAATTGAATTATCTATAATATTTACAAACATCATAATAATCTACAGCAACTCGGTATACTTTAAAATTGCATTATAATGCAGAAAATAAATATTAATTCCAGGCGACTAGATGGACAACTCATGCATTTATTAAATCTCTTGTAACTTTTAATCTAATTATTTCATATAAATGAAATATTTGGCAAATTTGTACAAAATTAAATGATCTGCGATATTTACTAACATCATAATGCCGTACAGCAACTCGGTATACTTTAAAATCGCCATTGAAAACAGAAAAAATATAAAAATACCGTTTCTGCAATCTTTTCATGCAATATACATGTATCTTACTTAACAAAATTATTTATATCTCAAGTTGTTATAATTTTTTTTTAAATTTTAGTATTTGTCGTTTCTGAGTATATTTTAAAGAATTATATATAAAATTTACAAAAACTAAATTTATAGTTATGAGCTCCAAAAATATTTTCATTGCAAATATAATCTTATATGAGAAATATTTTTTTTTATAAAATTTTGTTAAAATCGTTTAGAATTGTTATATACAGATTTATAGATAATTTTATTAGCTTTTATTTGATATAATAATATATGTTAATTATATCAAATAATTAAATTATAAAGATAAATATAAAAAATGTCAACAAATACAGTACTCCAGTGGCTAAGAGTATCTAGTTAGATACTAAAGTATAAAGTTTAGAGATTTTTCCTAATTAATTTTATTTGAAAAGTTTTTAAACATTATATACAGATTTGTAGATAATTTTATAAGCTTTCTAACAATATATAACATTATTATATTTTAATTTTTTATATCAAAATAAACGTGGATACCAAAAACTACTTGCAATCGATAAATCTAATGTTTCAGGACACGCCATTGTTATTTTGAAGTTTGAAAGATTTTTTTATAAAATTTTGTTAGACTCGTTTAGAATTGTTATCTACAGATTTGTAGATAATTTTATTAGTTTTCATTTGATATATAATAATACATATTATTTATATTAATTAGTTCAACAAAAAGATAAATATAAAAGTGTTCTCGGTATTTGTTGTATTTTCAATGCTCTGTTATACCTATATGTACTTTATCCAAAAAATTATTGATATCTCAAGTTGTGATAAATTTTTCATCAATTATATTATTTATTATCAAAATATATATATTAGAGAATAACATATAAAAATTTCAACGTTCTGACCTTTCGGATATAATTTAAAAAAATAAAAATAATGGGTCAAAAATTTTAATTGAACTCACGAAAAGAATTTGCAACATTTCCGGACGTCTCGAAATTTCTTTCACTTTGAGAATAAAAAAAAATTAAAAATGTATAAATATACTTACAGTGCATTTTTCTTATTTAACAGACTGTAATATGTTTAATGAAAAAAATATTTCAAGCAAGAATTGTCATTTAAAAAAAATTATAAAAAATCACATTTATGAACAATTTTTTATAATTTTTTAAAATTTAAAAATTATATCGATAATTGCGTATTTTATCCACTATTTATTTACTAGAATAATCATTAAACTTTATGTTTAAGTAAATTGTATTCACCTTAAATTTTTTTTTTAAATAAAAATCAATTATAATCCTTATATTTTTAGACGTAATTTTCCACTAAAACTTATTAGGTCTAGCCCCTATTTTATCCGAAATTTATTTAACCCAACTATTAAACTTTGTTATTAAACTAATTCCATTCACTTTAAAATTTATTTTCGATTTAAAAAAAAAATTAAAAACAATTTATAACCTCGACGGTTCAAAAGACAAACGTGAACTGCAAACAAAATTTCAATGAAGAAGACTTCGACGTCTTCAACTTTTTTTTTCACCTCACCATAAACGCACGTGTTTTCACAATCATATTGTGAAAGAATTATTTAAATAAATAAAATTTTGGACGTATAAAATATGCAACTAGATGTATGTGGAATTTTGCCTTGAGGCAAGTAGCATTGAAAACCCGAAATATGCAAAAAATCGACTTAAGTAATATAATTTACATTAAATTTTTGTACAAATTCATGTAGAGCTATATTGTTGTAATTTTTATATATAAACGTTATTTAATATATATACTATTATAACAAATATTAAAATTTTTGGAAAATTTATCACAACTTGAGATATAAACAATTGTTTGGTTAAAGTACATGCGCATCAACGCATCTCAAATACTACAAATACTGAGGACACTTTCATATTTATCATTTTTGTTAAACTAATTGATATAAATAATATGTATTATCATATATCAAATCAAACATAATAAAATTATGTACAAATCTGTATATAACAATTCGCAAAGTTCAGAACAAAGTTAAATAATAAAAATCTTTCAAACTTTAACGTGTCTATCATTAGTCTCGTGGTTGCATTTTTTTTTATATCAGCTTTTATTTTATTATAAATAATTAAAATATAATAATGGTATTATATATTGTTAAAAGCTAATAAAATTATCTACAAATCTGTATATAACGTTTAAAAACTTTTCTAACAAAATTAATTAGGAAAAATCTCTAAACTTTATACTTTAGTATCTAACTAGATACTTTTAGCCACTACAGTATTGTATTTGTTGACACTTTTTTATATGTAATTTTATAATTCAATTATTTGATATAATTTATAATTTGATATAATTAATATATATTATTGTATATCAAATGAAAGCTAATAAAATTATCTATAAATCTGTATATTATAATTCTAAACGATTCTAACAAACTTTTATAAAAAAAATATTTCAAACTTCAGAATCGCAATGGCGCGTCCTGAAACAACATAGTTTAATCGGTTGCAAGTATTTTTTGGTATTCACGTTTATTTTATTGTAAATAATTGAAATATAATATACGAGTATATATATATATATATATATATATATAAAGCGAGAAGTTTTTCTTCAGAAGGTGAAATAATATGATAAAATTGACACACGTAATACATATTCCAAGCTGACAACATGTTCGTTTGGAATAAGCTTTTTTATAATAAAATATATTATTTATTTTAATCTTACAAGTTTTAAAATTTATCATAACTCGACGTTTTATCAATTTTTATTTCATATTTGTGCAATTTTGAATGTTTTTGTGTTTTTTTTTTCAAATTTATTTGTATGCACTGAAGATGGGTCAAATCAAGAGCCGAAACGTATGTTATCTGAATAAAAACATTTTTCAATAAAACTGTTTTTTAATTACTGGATGGATGCCCAAGAAACAATTTTATCATATAAATATATATATATATATATATATATATGCATAATAAATTAAATTTATTCTTACCTTATATAATCCAATAGTTTCTTTACAAAAAAACACAAATAAAATGACTTTTAGCCAAATTCACGACGACTTCATCTTCACAACTTCCGATAAAAGAATGAAAAATCCAAAATGGTATATTTTCTGAAACATAGATAAATAATATATATAACACCCAAATTAATAAATATGAAATAGCGGCATTTTTAAATTTAAAATTTAATCAGTTTTTGGTGAAGGCAAGTCTAGTCGTTTCGGAGATCCAATAAAAATAGACAAAAATCATCATTAGACATATGCACATCAAATTATCACATGTTTTATTAGTTATTTTAATAATAATAACAAATTTTGTTCACATTTCTATGGGTTCCGTGTACCAATGTTCATCCCTCACACTGCAACGCGGCGCCCACGCGCTTCTATATTTCGTTTGCATGCTGCTAACGTATCGCCATTGCTTTGAAAAAATATTCAGAATTTCCAAAATATTTCAAATTATAAAAAATCAAATTTACCAAAAATCATTTTCAAACATTTTAAAAATCTCAAAAATCGATTTTTTTTTCAGAGTTCTAAAAAAAATCTTAAAAATCTTTCTTAAAAAAATTTCGTACGGGAAGTTCCAGCAATATGATCATTAGACATACGCATATCAAATTATCACATATTTTATAGATATTTTAATAATAATAATAACAAATTTTGTTTACATTTCTATGGCTGTACCAAGGTTCATCGGTTGTACCGCGACGCGGCGCCCACGCGCTTCGATATTTCGTTTCTACGCAGCTAACATACCGGCGGTTGCTTTGCAAGAAATTTCAGAATTTCCAAAATATTTCAAAGTATGAAAAATCAAATTTACCAAAAATCATTTTTAAAAATTTTAAAAATCTCAAAAATCTTTTTTTTTGCAGAGTTCTAAAAAAAGTCTTAAAAATCTTTCTTAAAAAATTTTGGTACGGGAAGTCTCAGTAATTTGCCTTAAGGCACGATTCCATGCACTACTACTAGTTTTATTTACATAATTTATCAATTTAAATTTACTATTCTATAGGTAATAATTAATACAATTTAAATAAAATCAAAATTATTTCTCTAATTCCTTTATTCGTGTCTATAGAATATAATTATTTCTAATACATACTATTTGTTTATATTTATTCATTAATTTATCATATATAAAAATATACATGACATGCAATATTCATTGCCTAAAAAATACATTTCGATATATTTTTTATTCATAACAATTTCGAGATTTTGGACCCTAAATTATATAAACTAAAAACAATCCTGCAACTTATAATAATATAATGTGAAAGAAATATATATAGATATATAAATATATAGTAAAAGCTCTATTCATTAAAACAACTTGCCAATAGGCAAAAGATAATATATATAAGCCAAACACGAATGTGATAACTGTCTTAGTTTGGTTTACCATAAAAGGTAATAATTGGCGGTTGATATTACGCTTGGAGTTACGCAAGGTACTATGTTAAGCCCCACAAGGTATGAAAGATAATTTTTATATTTATTACAACTTTTGTAATATTTCATATAATTAATAAATTCAATAGAACTGAAATAAAAAGTTTCAGAGAGCACTATACAAATGCATTTTTCATTATTATTTGAATTGATTCTATAAGAAAATAATGCAACGAAATTTATAGTGCAAGAACAGAAACTTGCCTTTAGGCAAATTTGAAACCACATATTGCATGTGATATATCAATTAGAAGAGCTCGAAGAGCTGAGTACAAATATATAATCCATTTTATTTTATTTTTATCATATAAGCAAAAGACCGAATGAGCTAGATAGTCCTTCATATAAGAAAAAGCAGCAACTTGCCAATAGCAACAATGCCAGGATTTTGCAAGGGATTTACTGTAACCGAACACGAAGAGCACAATGCAGATCTAATGTCTATTTTTAATTATGTTTATACTATAACTAATCGTAATTGATTCTGATATAATCGCCCAGAACGAGTGGTTCATCAAACACTCAAAACATTTTTAAGAATTATTACGCTTGGAGTTACGCAAGGTACTATGATAAGCCCCAAGGTATGAAAGATAATTTTTATATTTATTACAACTTTTATAATATTTCATATAATTAATCAAGTCGAAGAACTGAAATAAAAGGTTTCAGTACAATTATGTTTGTACTATAACAAATCGAAATTGATCCAGATTTAATTGTCCATAACGAGTGGTTCATCAAACACTCAAAACATTAAGAATTATTACACTTGGAGTTACGCAAGGTACTATGATAAGCCCCAAGATTTGAAAGATATTTTTTATATTTATTACAACTTTTGTAATATTTCATATAATTAATAAGTTCAATAGAACTGAGATAAAGATCATAAGAAAATAAGTGTACTGGCTAATTATATAAAATCAGCAACTTGCTAATAGGAAAATATCATTTATCATAACGATATACATTTTAATTTGTTTTATCATAAAAGGAAATAACTGGTTAAGCTGAATAGTTCTTTATATTAAAGCGAGAAATAAGCAACTTGCCATTAGAAAAATTCCAGAGAACTTTTTGCATGGGACATATCATTTAGAAGTCTTTTATTTATAAAATATAAATATAAATATAAATATAAATTCTTTTATTCTCTAACAAAATAGAAACTGAACTTATAGTGAAAGAACAGCAGCTTGCCGGTAGAAAATCTTCATCGACCACATTGAAGTATGTGGCATATTCCAAAAAATATACTTCGAAGAACTGAATACAAATATGATAGTTTTATGATATACAAATATGATAGATTTAGTTTATTTTATCAAATAAGGAAATAATTATGCTGGCTGACATAGTGCAGCATGTAAAATATAATGTAACTTAACGCGCCTTAAAATAGTTTGCACTATTATGCAAACTATTAATAATAAAAGTAATCTCTTGTTATATTTGATAAGTCAAAAAAATTGACAAAGAGCAGCAACTTGCCGAAAGAAAAAATATCAAACCACATTTAGCATTTGATAAAAGTTTTGTTTATTTTATCATATAAAGAAATTATACTGGTTGGTATGCAGTATATAAAAGAGAAGAATCAGCAACTTGCAAATAAGATAATTCCAAAGACAAATCATTAAGAAAGTCTCGAACACAATATAAATATACTGCCTATTCTATACAATAGAATTTGTGGACAATTCAAAAGAGAGAACAGCAACTTGCCTGTAGGCAAAAGTCGACCCACATTTTTGGCTGAGCTAAATAGTCCATTATATAAGAAAAAGCAGCAACTTGTCAATAGCAACATTGCTAGGATTTTGCAGGTGATGTGTCATCCCAAAGCTCTAAGAACACAATGCAGAACTAATGTCTATTTTTAATTTTGTTTGTACTATAACAAAGCAAAATTGATTCTGATCTAATCGTCCATAATGAGTGGTTCATCAAACACTCAAAACATTTTTAAGAATTATTACACTTGGAGTTACACAAGGTACTATGATAAGCCCCAAGATTTGAAAGAAATTGTTTGTATTTATTACAACTTTTGTAATATTTCATATAATTAGTAAATTCAATAGAACTGAAATAAAAGGTTTCAGAGATACAAATGCATTTCTCATTATTATTTGAATTGGTTCTATAACAAAATAATGCAACTAAATGTATAGTGCAAGAATAGCAACTTGCCTTCAGGCAAATCTGGAACCACATATTGCATGTGATATATCAATTAAAAGAGCTCGAAGAGCTGAATACAAATCTGAGATCTGTTTTAGTTCATTTTTTCATATAAGCAAAAGACCGAATGAGCTAGATAGTCCTTCATATAAGAAAAAGCAGCAACTTGCCAATAGCAACAATGCCAGGATTTTGCAAGGGATTTACTGTAACCGAACACGAAGAGCACAATGCAGATCTAATGTCTATTTTTAATTATGTTTATACTATAACTAATCGTAATTGATTCTGATATAATCGCCCAGAACGAGTGGTTCATCAAACACTCAAAACATTTTTAAGAATTATTACGCTTGGAGTTACGCAAGGTACTATGATAAGCCCCAAGGTATGAAAGATAATTTTTATATTTATTACAACTTTTATAATATTTCATATAATTAATCAAGTCGAAGAACTGAAATAAAAGGTTTCAGTACAATTATGTTTGTACTATAAAAAATCGAAATTGATCCAGATTTAATTGTCCATAACGAGTGGTTCATCAAACACTCAAAACATTAAGAATTATTACACTTGGAGTTACGCAAGGTACTATGATAAGCCCCAAGATTTGAAAGATATTTTTTATATTTATTACAACTTTTGTAATATTTCATATAATTAATAAGTTCAATAGAACTGAGATAAAGATCATAAGAAAATAAGTGTACTGGCTAATTATATAAAATCAGCAACTTGCTAATAGGAAAATATCATTTATCATAACGATATACATTTTAATTTGTTTTATCATAAAAGGAAATAACTGGTTAAGCTGAATAGTTCTTTATATTAAAGCGAGAAATAAGCAACTTGCCATTAGAAAAATTCCAGAGAACTTTTTGCATGGGACATATCATTTAGAAGTCTTTTATTTATAAAATATAAATATAAATATAAATATAAATTCTTTTATTCTCTAACAAAATAGAAACTGAACTTATAGTGAAAGAACAGCAGCTTGCCGGTAGAAAATCTTCATCGACCACATTGAAGTATGTGGCATATTCCAAAAAATATACTTCGAAGAACTGAATACAAATATGATAGTTTTATGATATACAAATATGATAGATTTAGTTTATTTTATCAAATAAGGAAATAATTATGCTGGCTGACATAGTGCAGCATGTAAAATATAATGTAACTTAACGCGCCTTAAAAATAGTTTGCACTATTATGCAAACTATTAATAATAAAAGTAATCTCTTGTCATATTTGATAAGTCAAAAAAAATTGACAAAGAGCAGCAACTTGCCGAAAGAAAAAATATCAAACCACATTTAGCATTTGATAAAAGTTTTGTTTATTTTATCATATAAAGAAATTATACTGGTTGGTATGCAGTATATAAAAGAGAAGAATCAGCAACTTGCA